GAGAACATACAACAATGTACATATCATTTTATTCATTAAGACTATGAATTTTGCTATGTCCAGCCCTGGGATCACATCTCAGCTCTGCCCTTTACTAGTTATCTGGTTTTTAAAATATCACTTAATCTCCTGAGGTTAAAATGAAAATATTGTTCTCTCATAGGAATACTGAAAATTAAAGGAAAAAATGCATATTAAATACGTAGCTTATGCCTGGCACATAATGAATTCTCAAATCATGATTGTTGTTAATGTTGCTGTTACTATTACCATTATCATTATTATTCCCATAAGAACATAAAGAGGTCCTATGACTGACTGTTAAAGGTAGTCAGCAACTAGAGAATAGCAGCATCTTAGAAAATATTAGAAAAGCTTTAAATCCTGACTGGGCACAGTGGCTCACACCTATAATCCTAGCACTTTGGAAGGCCAAGGTGGTAGGATCACTTGAGGCCAGGAGTTCAAGATCAGCTTGGACAACATAAGCAAGACCCCATCTCTACAAAGGAAAAAAAAAAAAAAGAATTCACCAGGTATGGCATGCACCTATAGTCCCAGCTACTCAGAAGGCTGAGACAGGAAGATCATGAGCCCAGGAGTTTAAGACTGCAGTGATCTGTGATAGCACCACTGCACTTCAGCCTGGGTGACAGAGCAAGACCTTATCTCAAGAATTTAAAAAAAAAAAAAAACTTTGAATTCTGATCTAAAGCTGGAACAAAGGCCAGAAGCTTTTTACCCTTAGAAGCCACCAGCCAGCATCCCTTGAAATATCAACGTGGCAACTTGAAGGAAAACATTACCAGACACTTAGGCACCACAGGAATTTGGGAGTAAAGACAGATAGATTAGCATGGCCACACACCCACAGGATTATTACTGATGAATTATTATTGCTATTTGTTTCCATTATTTCCGTTCTGATTTTTGCAGTTTTGAGGTTTTGAATGTTAAAAATTATTTTAATCTATATGGAGCAGTAATTTAATATTGAATATAGCCCACTTCTTTTTTTTTTTTTTTTTAATAGAGACAGGGTCTTGCTCTGTTGCGCAGGCTGGAGTACAGTGGCATGACCATAGCTCACTATAACCTGAAACTCCTGGGCTCAAACAATCCTCCTGCCTTAGCCTCCCATGGATATAACCCAATTCAACAATCATTTTAGTTAATGCTTTCCCAATAGAAAATATCAAACTAGGTGCTGTGAAGGAAGCATTTTATAATTTTTTATAATCATGATGTTTCTTGTTTTATGTTTAGGTTTTGATCAGTATGCAACTGATGTCTGGTGACCCATGTTTTAAAACGTAAGTTGATACCCAATAAGTGGATTATGTATCTAAAAGTATAAGAAAGATTTATTTGTTTAAATTTTTACATTAATATTTTGTAGTGCTTATGGGAAAATACCAGTTAAGAGATAGTTTCTTCCATGGGAGACTGACCTGACCCTCTTAGAAGTTATGTTTACCTATTACCAAATGAATTCTCCATACTCTAAATTATTAATGCTATAGGTCTTTTATCATCTTCAGGTTTTGGGTAAAATTATATGAACAAAAATTTTTAATACAGCTTCTGTGAACATACTCATTTCTTCAGTAAATACCTATCAAGTGCCTTACCAGGTGTTAAGCCATATTCTAGATACTAGAGAAACCGCAATGAACAAAATAGGTTAAGTCCTTGCCATCCTGGAGCTTATATTCTAAGAGGAAAATGGACAATAAGCTAACAAGTAAATACACAATACACCGATGGTCATAAGCGCTTTGGAGAAAAAGGATGGGAGGGCCATGGTGAAGAGAAGTGTCGCTATTCCATATATAGTAGTCAAGGGAGGCCCCCCTGGTAAAGATGATATTTGAGTAGAGACCTGAAGGAGGTGGGAAGCAAGTCACACCGGCATTAGGGGAAAGAGTATTTGAGGTAGAGGAAACGAGGACAGAGACCTTGAGGGAGAAGTGTTCTTGGCATGTTCAAGTAGCTGCCTGGAGAGCAGCAGGTCTAAAGCAGGCTGAATAAAGAGGCGGGTGACAGGAGATGAGGTCAGATGATAAGGAGTCTTGTGGCCATTATAAAAAGGACTGCCACTCACACTCTGAAATGGAAAAGCTATTGGAAGTTTTGAGCAGAGAAGTAAAATTGTCTGACTTGTGGCTGCTGGATAGGGAATAGACAATCTGTAGGAGTAACAAAGGGGACAGGGGCACAAATAATTAGATAAAAGGCTATTTCAGTAATCCAAGGTTTTGAGCCTGAGTAACTGGACAAATGGCACTTTCATTTGTTGAGATGAGATAACAAGTTGGGAGTTTGGGTGTCAGACATTTTAAATTTGAGATCCCTATTTAACATCCAGCGGGGCATGTCAAGTAGGCAATTGGATAGATCAACTAGAGTCCAGTAGGGAGATCTGGGCAGGAGATAGAAGTGTGGAAATTATTACATCATTCGCATACAGGTAGTAATTAAAGCCATCAGACTTGAATAAATAACTGGAGGGAACGAGTAGAAATGGAAAAGGACCAGAGACTGAGGTGGGGACACCCCAGCGTGTTAGAGGTCAGGGAGACTGGGAAGAAGAAGGAGCAAAGAAACCATGAGTGTGATCGGAGGAGGAAAGCAAAGCAGAGTCCTGTCCTGAAAACCAAATGAAGAAATGGCCTCAGAAAGGCAGGAATAAGCACCTGCGTCACACGCTGCTATAGTGGGTTTCAGAAAATGAGGACTGAGGATTGACCCTTGGAATTTTCAGTGCAGAAGCTGTTGATGACTTTGGCAGGCACTTTGGTAGAATGCCCTTAGACTAAAGCCTTTTGAGCGTGGGTTAAAGAGACTTTGGGAGGAGAAAAATTGGAGACAGTGAGTATAAACAGTTCTTATGAGGGGTTTTGCTGTAAAAAAGAAACAGAAAAATTGAGTCATAAGTAAAGAGAGAATTTGGAGTAGGGCAGGTTTTATTCATTTTTAAGATGGAAGATGGTATAGCATATTTGAGTACCAATAGTATTGGCTCAGTAAGAGGGAGAAACTGATGATCCAGAAAAGGGACTGTTGCTAGAACGGCATCCTTGCATTGTTGGAAGGGAGGAAGGCTGAGAACGTAGCTACTGACGCAGGTAGAGGAGAAATGGAAGCATATAGAAGTTCTTTTCTAATTGCTTCTGATTTCTTAGTGCAGTAGGAAACAAGGTGCTCATTGAAGAGCAAGGACAGGGAAGACAGAGGAAGGGGTTTGAAGAAAGGAGAAGGTATGCAGAAATCTCACAGAGTGTCAGCATGAACGGAATGGGAAATGCAGGATTGCTTCTCAGCAGCCTTAAGGACACTTAATGATTAAAAATGAAAGTTCATTAATATCATTGAAATATCAGAAAAATACACATAGAAAACTAAAGAAAACATTACCTCCCTGTATATCAACTTCATGTTTTTAATAGCTGTAACTTAGAAAGCAACACCTAGCCGGGCGCGGTGGCTCATGCCTGTAATCTCAGTACTTTGGCAGGCTGAGGCAGGTAGATCACTCTACAAAAAATACAAAAATCAGGCATGGTGATGCATGCCTGTGGTCCCAGCTACTTGGGAGGCTAAGGGGAGGATTGCTTGAGCCTGGGAAGTGGAGGTTGCAGTGAGCCGAGATTGCACCACTATACACCAGCCTGGGCGACAGAGCAAGCCCCTGTTTCAAAAAAAAAAAAGAAA